TCAGTCAAGTGCCTTAGGCATTACACTACCAGACCTCCTAGGCCTATCAAGAAAAGAGTCAAATTTCAATTCACATCTTAGGGAGGCAATTGCTTTTTGTTTATTCCACTTACCATATACTGTGAATTCTTCTGACTTTTACATAAGCCATAATATTGTCTCTGGTAAATGAACCTTCAATAAACATGATGAGCAAATCAATTCCTAACAAACAGAAAGGTTTTTACAGCTGTCCCTTGTAATTGTGGCAGATGCTGTGGTTAGGCTCTGGTCTGATGATGTGAGCAAATTGCAATTAAAGTTGAAGGATGCTATTTATTGTGTAAGCCAAGGCTCTTTCTGTGGGAGAGATCACACACAAGCTCACCAGTGGTACTTTACTGGAGTGGAGTCGGGGCAGGGTTTCTGCTGAGGACACCCTCTCAGTGGCAGGACTTCAAAGGCTTTCGAAGGCCTTCCTCATCCTTCCCAAAACCATGGTTCCTAGTGCCCAGGTACTGATGCCTCAAATTCTCACCATGAGAAATATAGAATATGTTCTTTCAGAAATACAAAATAGTATCTTGGGCCACTTATAAATTAATTAGACTTTAATGTGTACAAATGACAAAGAGAAGACAGGAGTAGTATCACTGGCCACACATAGCCCAAGAGGAGTGACTCTTGTCAAAGAAGAATGAAGAGTCACGCAGAGGGGAATTAAAAAGGTAGAAATTGCTCAATATAAATACCAACACTCTGAGCCAGGCCAGGCCAAGTTCAAGTTGCCTGTAAGAATATATAGGGCTTCCACAGGCTGTACCATAAAGGTGACTGCTGTCAATTTGTTGATCCCCAAGCCTCCCTACATTGAGGGGAGAAACTGTGGTTGTAATCCAGGAACTGAGCCAATAGATTTGGCCCAGAGAAAATGGTCAAATAGGGCTTCCAATTGGAGGGACAAAGAAGACAAGAACTTGAGAATGAGCCAGGTCAGTAGCAAAGAAAGGTACCCAAACCCACTGCCATCAAATCGAATGTAATTCATAGGGACTCTATAGCACAGAGTAGAAATTCCCCATAGGGTTTCCAAGGCTATAAATCTTTACAGCAGGCGACTGCCTCATCTTTCTCCTGTGGAGTGGCTGGTGGGTTCAAATCATGGACTTTTAGTTAGCAGACGAATGCCTTAACCACTGCACAACCAGAGCTCCTTAAAAGAGATACCCAAACCACCAAACCCACTGCCATGGAGTTAATTCCAATTTATAGCAACCATTTAGGATAAAGTAGAACTGCCCCCATAGGGTTTTTGAGGCTATAAATCTTTATGGAAGCAGACTGCCTCATTTTTGTCCTGCAGAGAGGCCAGTGTGTTCAAAATAGCAGCCAAATGTCTTAACCATTGCATCACCAGAGCTCCTTTAAGAGAGGTTCGGACACCTGAAATGGGATTTAAGGACCAGTTCCACCAGTCTTCTCCAGAGCTGCCATTGTTTTCCTTACACTCAGCCCTGGACTCCCAAGTGTTTCATTTTTCCTATTGTTTCATTTTCTAAGGCTCAAAAACTTCAGAGTCCTGTTGACCATGGCAGGTATTAGATCAGTGCTAGTTTCCTTCCTTCTTTCTCCATTGTCCCTCTGCCCCAGTCAGCTTCCACATCCCAGGCCATGCCTCTAAAATCCACCCCTCCTCTGCCCACTCTTTCACCTTTGCCCATATCAGTCCTTATTATCTCTTACCAGCCTCCTAGTTGACCTTTCTTTCCCGTCCAGTCCCATCAACTTCTAGACCCATCACAACCTATCCCAAATACAGTTGCCAGATGTAACATATAGAAAACTTTCTTACAAGCAAATCTCATATACAACCATTCAAAGCACTGCCAGGAATGGTTCTACCTAACTATCTTGCAGTTTCATCTCTCACAAATGTATCCCCTGCTCCAACAAAGGAATTGTGCTGTGGGACCCTAAACACACCTTCTGATTTCTCATCTCCTTACTAGGCAAAGTTCATGCCTGGAAAAACTTTCCCTAATATCAGGCCTATACACACTCAATCATACCCCATCAAAATTTATTTCAGAATTATGCTAATATTATACAGTAATGGTTGATTGAAGTTGAACTATGGGAAGTATATAAAGTTTTAATAACCTTCTCATGAACCCTCATTAGTGTTATTACTGCTTATTTATTCCACTTACAATATTCTATGGTTTATATTGGGAGCTCTGGTAGCATAGTGGCTACGGCACTTGACTGTTAACCAGAAGGCTGGCGGTTCAAATCCACCAGCCACTCCTCGGAAGGAAGATGGGGCAATCTACTTCCATAGTGATACTGCCTCGGAAACCCAAGGAGGAGTCGCTATGAGTCAGGTCCGACTCGACGGCAAACAACAACAACAACATGGTTTATATCAGTCTTTAATTAGATAAAGATATTGTCTCTGTTAGGAGCTCTGGTAGCATAGTGCCTAAGGCACTTGACTGCTAACCAGAAGGCTGGTGGTTCAAACCCACCAGCCACTCCTCAGAAAGAAGGTTGGGCAATCTACTTCCATAGTGATACTGCCTCAGAAACTCAAGGAGGGGTCACTATGAGTCAGGTCTGACTCGACGGCACATAACAACAACAACAATTGTCTCTTTTGAAGGATCTGAAGTCAACGATTGAAATGAACAGAACATTTGTGTTTCCAAAGCCCTGATCCAATGCTACCTTCTTCTTGGAAACTTCCTATCACCCATCCAGAAGTATTCTCTCACACCTCTGAAATTCATAATTCTTTATTTACTTACACCTTTCTTGAGCCACATCTATTTTTGTCTATATGACTTGCCCTATTGTCTCATTTCTTCTAGACTATAAACATGCTGTGGACCAAGGCTGGTGTTCACTTATTTAAGTGTTCTCAATACCCTACACAGTACCTGGTACACACAATAAGAGATTGTTGATTGTGGTTATGTCAATCATATACAACCAAACTGAATGGATCATTAAGATTGTTACCTGTAGACTTGAGACCCTTAAGAATTCAGAGATGAGCCAAGTCAGGGGAGGATGGGGTTAGTATTTGTTTGGGAGGGCTTAATGAATATTGATTTTTCTTGCAATTACAGGAAATGAAATGGTGAAGAGATTATGGAAGGACATTATAGACATGAGTAAAGACCTACAGAAAAGAACAAACTTAAGGGGGGGGGAAGGGAGTAAGGAGATAATCCAGCCTTCATTTAAAAGACCTTTGAGCCAATAAAGTGTTAGCTATAACAAATGGATAACAAGATGAATCAGTTTGGCAAAGATAAGTTTTAGTCCAATTAAATGTGATATGATAGTCCGACACCAAGTAAAACTGTCCTGTGAGCAACCAGAAACCTGGTACTTGAGCTGACAATTTGAAAGTCATCAGCATAGAAGTGCTACTTCTCTGTGGATGGAAATATAAATATAAAAAGAGCAAACCAGAGGTCTGAGGACTTACGCATATACTTGTGGTAGCAGAGGGAAGTGGGGCTAATCAGAAGACAGAGACAGGGTAGTAGAAAGCTATAGCAAGAGGACCCAGAGAGTGTGTGGGGCTATAGAAATCAATGAAGGTGCATTTTAAGAAAAGATGAGAAGCAGGTATCTATATTGGTGATGCAGGTGTGGCAGAGAGAATTGCTGTCCCTTGAAAAGTTTCTACAGGGAAGTAGAGATGAAAGTTGGTCTTCAGGAAGTTTAGGACACAGAGGGGCAGAGAATTCCCTTTTGATGGAGGTGACAGTGGGAGACAATAATGAAGTTTTTCAAGGATTCTAAATATTGCCAAGGGCCCTGTCGCCAAGTCAAAATGGGTGTGGGTGTTGAAGACCAGGTTTTCTGCATAGTTTTTCTTTGGTGGTAGCCTCATAAGAAGGTGTCATTTCCTCTCCACCAATGTTTATCCATGGAACATAATGGCTCGGGCTAGTCCTTCAACTCATTTCATTCACCTAATGAAGGGGTATTTTTATGAAACAGCCATGATGAGTACTTTACGATGCATAAATATGAATGAGAAACAAATTTACTATGCCAGGGAAATAAAATTTATTGGGAAGTAAATGAAGGAGCCTCCTTGCATTCCAGAGAATACCAAAGAAACAAGGAAAGCAGGAAACATGATAAATACAGGAAACACCCTAATATCTAGAGCTCAGGTTACAGGGAGTTTGTTGAACATCTTCAGAAATAAAGGCTCAACCTTCAGCATGAAGGAGGCTTCCAGACATTGAAAGTTGATGATCTGTGTCTTTGCTTGTTGAGTCTGGAATGCATTTTAGTGCCTAAAAATATCAGTTGGCGTGACAAGATTTGTAAATGGCAACTGAGCTCCAGCAAAGGCAGGAACTAAGGGTCTTTCTTATGCTTGATCTAAAGGGCTTCATGGATGTCTTCAAAGAGGATTCATGCTTCTAAATTAACAGCAACGTTTTTGAGAGCTGACACAGGATCCAGAGGCATTAGTGGTGGCGCATGGGTTGCAGGGAAGCCTGTGGGGATGCAGAGGTTTAGAATGAGTTGTGGATGGGTGTGGAGAGGGCCCTAAAGCACACATAACACCTTTGAATTTTCAGTGGTTGGAGTTAGTTGGAATCAAATTTTCTTGGTACCAAATCCTTCTCTCTTTCCCACAATGCTATGTGAAAAGGTGGAAGATGTGTCTTAAATGGTTCTTTTGAAAAATACTATCTCATCCTCTTGAGCTCTCATGGAATTTAACACAGTTTGCCTGACCCGATAGTTATTGTGAATAGCAATCTCTCTACCACTACCTCTCCCTTGTTAGCCCATGAGGCAGGGGCTGTTTTCCCAAATGTGCCTTCTACATTTGTGTAAATATCACAGATCACTGGGCATATAGTAGCTACTCAATTAATGCATATTGTTTGGTGAGTTGAAAATATAGCCAACATATGTGTACCCATATTGTCATGTAGTCCCATCTTACACATATTCCCAGAAATCCTTAGCATCACACTCACTTGCAGTCTTCACTCTCCAGAAGGCCCCGGTATGTGTTGATCTCGCTCTCCAGCCGAGCCCTGACATCTAGCAGCACCTGGTACTCCTGGTTCTGACGCTCTAGGTCACCACGGATCTCAGCCAGCTGGGACTCCACGTTGGTGATCATGTACTGCACCTGGGACAGCTGGGAGCTGTAGCGGGCCTCAGTCTCGGTCAGTGTGTTTTCCAGAGAGTCTCTCTGGAATGGAGAAGACAATGAAATGTCAGAGACATATTCTTTTAAATGATTTCTCTATATTGTTCCAAAGAAGTCACAAGCTTCAAGAGTTAAGGAGAGTTTCTACTATAATGGAACCCCAGTCAATTCCCTGACTTCATATTTCTCAGGAGGATGTTTGAACAATACCTACCAGATTATGCTGAGCCTGCAGCTCAATCTCCAGGGCATTGACTGCACGTTTCAGCTCAGTGATCTGTGCCTGGGAGGTCTGCAGCTGCTCCGAGCTGGACACCACCTGCTTATTCAGCTCTTCGGTCTGAAATATCCAGAGGGGAGAAGACAGGGGTCAGACTCTGTCTAAGGGCCCTGAGGGCTTCAGGTCCAGAGTGGCCTTGTTTAGATGCCCACCTGTGTGGCGAACCATTCCTCCACTTCTCTGCGGTTGGTCTCCACCAGGGCCTCATACTGACACCTGGTCTCATTCAGGACACAGTTCAGGTCCACAGTTGGGGCAGCATCCACCTCCACATTGAGGCGGTCTCCAAGCTGGCTTCTCAGGGAGTTGACTTCCTGATGGAGCAAGTGGAAAAAATGAGCTCATAGAAATGGATCTACTATCTTCCTACTATGGAAAAGTGACCCCAACCCTGCCAAGAATATAATAAAAGAAACACTCTGATTGTTCCCAAAGATTGACATAAATATTTTGAGTTGGTGTAAACTCAAATAGGGATCATATCAATTCCTTTCTTAAAAAACCACTTCACATTTTCTATAGGACTAAGTCCCAACTCTTTGGCTGTATACTTCCTACCTCATTTCCCAGCCACAGTGACTCATGGGCCATATTCAAATACACCGTGCTTTTCCACTTCTGCAATTTTGCTCAGCCTCATCCCTCAGACTGGAGCACCCAAGTATTGAAGTACTCCTCCCAATCTGGGCCAAGTGCTTGGTAATTAGCAGTTCACCTCACTCGTTGGTGTGGCTATAGTGTATCATTCTCTGAGCTAAACTTGAGTTCTTTGGAGAAGGGGCCTAGGCCAGTGATCTTGTCAGGTGTACCTCCTGGTTCCCAATTCTAACAGCTTAGCTCTGAAGCTCGCCTTTTTATCATTGTCTCACCTCCTCATGGTTCTTCTTGAGGCACACCAGCTCCTCTCTCAGGGACTCCACCTGGGCTTCCAGGTCAGACTTGCACAGGGTCAACTCATCCAGAATCCTGCGCAGGCTGTTGATGTCAGCCTCCACCAGCTGCCTCATGGAGAGCTCTGTCTGGTACCTTCAAACACAATTTGGAGTAGAAGGATAAACCAGGAAAGAAGGCTACCTCCCTATGTCTTATTTGGATGAGATTATTTTCAGTCTCTTTGAACTTATACAATTTTTTGCCTGTTATCATCTACATGTTTCCCTCAAGCTCTGCATGGATCAGCTGAAAGGCTTCCTGACTCACCCAAACACCAGAAGGCACTGAAGGGACTCCTGAGATGGAGTCTCTCACTTTTCTCAATTTTGTTGGTTATCACCAAATCGATCCATTTTCCAAGATCAACTGATTTCAATCTCTGAATTTTGGGGATTGAGAAGCCCTTCCCGAAAGACCAATGTACACTGAAAAGCAGATTGTCCATGGATATGGATCCCTGTTTGAAACTGCTTTTTCATAATCAACCTTGAGAGAAAAAGTTAAAAGGGGAAAATGACTTTCTTCTCTCTTCTAGGTAACATTAGGCCCATAGGGCCTTAGCCATAGGTCCTTAGCAGTCATCTGGTCTAAAAGTTTCAACGTACTTGGTTCTGAAGTCATCAGAGGCCAGCTTGGCATTGTCGATCTGCACCACCAGCCTGGAATTCTCAGACTTGGCACACAGAATCTGCAAACAAGATTCCAAGGTGAGAATCACTTGAACTTGAGAATATCTTATTGTTCAAAGAGAGCTAGCTTCCTCTGTGCTCCATCAAAGTCTACCTCCTCACCTTCTGCTGGAGCTCCTCAATTGTGCGGAAGTAGGACTGGTAGTCAGGGCAAGCGTAGGGCACTTGCTGCTGGTTCCATTCACGGATGCGGCCCTCCAGCTCTGCGTTCTCCCGCTCCAGCTGGCGCACCTTCTCCAGGTAGCTGGCCAGGCGGTCATTCAGGAACTGCATGGTCTCCTTCTCATTGCCATTAAAGGAGCCCTCACACAACCAGCCACAGCTGCCTACATTGGCAGGGATGTTGCAGGCCCCAGGCAGGGTGCAGCTATGACAGCTGTGGGGCACACAGGGCCGGGAGGAGCAGCTGGTGCGGCAGCTCAGGTTGGGCAGGCAGCAGGTGTATGACATGGTGCTGGGAGAGGTGATGGAAGAGGAGGTGAACTGCTGGAAGTGGATATGAGTGAGGTATGAGCCTCTCTTTCCTCCATGGTCCTTTTATACCCTTTATGGTGGGTGGAAGCTTGGCATGCAGCATAATTTTCTTTCCTCAATGCTTCATCTAATTTTTTTCCAAAATATGCTAGTTAGATGCCTTCAAAGAGTCCCCCTCATCACATAAAATTATTCCATTCAGCTTGTGTCACATCAGGCTCCTCCTGGATGCTTCTGGTTTGGTGAAATCAGAGTTTGTCAGATGGCTTCAAAGGAAGAAGAATCATCACAGCCCCAAATGGCTCTCTCCATTACTCAGAGGGGAGGGCAGTAAGAACATGAGGTAGATTTGTTTGGGAATCAGAGACTCCCCATCCATAGATTTTGGCACAAGTTCCCTTGAAGGAGAGCTTGGGGTGAATATTCTTCTAGGGATTCCTCTCCCCCCAATTCCTCACACATTTCAGCATTGAGCTCAACTTGTCCATATAAGCAGAGACATCATGTATTAGCTGCAAGGATCCTGAGCATTCCTCAATGAGAGTATTGATTGGGGCTTAAGAAATTTGGCAATACATGGAGAGATTGAAAATAATTGAGTATTCATACTTAGGAAATGAGAAAGTAAAGTGGAAAGTAGATGGATGGATGGGAGTAGCACTAAAGCAGGAATCAGCAAACTATAGCCCACGGGCCAAGTTTCGTCTTCCATCTGTTTTTTTGTTTTGTTTCTTAAATAAAGTTTTATTAGAATACAATCATACCCATTCAGTTATGTACTGTCTATGGCTGCTTTTGCACTGCATTAGCAGAGTTGAATAGTTGCAGCAGAGACCATGTGTCCCCCAAAGCCTGAACTATTTACCCTCTGGCCTTCACAGAAAAACTTTACCAACCTGCCCTGAAGCCAGCAGTCTGCTAAAAGATGAGAAAGAAAAGAAACATCTAGAAAGGAAATTATTTGGAGAATAGTCCACAAGAACAGTTGAGGTGGTAGTGTTGAAACACACCACTTCAGACTCATAAAGAAAAGAAACCAGGACAAGGTGTTCAGAGCTATCTTTGTATTTACGGTGATCTTATCTCAAAGTAAACAGCAGTGGTTAAGACATTTGGCTGCTAGCACAAAGTTTGGTGGTTTGAACCCACCAGCTGCTCTGAAGGATAAAGATGAGGCAGATTGCTTCCATAATGATTTACAGCCTTAGAAACCCAATGGGGCAGTTCTAGTCTTTCTTATAGGATCTCTATGAGTCGGAATCAACTTGGTGGCAGTGGGTTTTATCTCAAGGTCTCTGGAAATTTCTCTCACTTTATTTCTGGACTTACCCCTCTTTCTGAAAGCTTTAAACATCCCTAGAGGTGTGACTATGCCAGTCTGAGATTCTCCCAGAACAAGTGATTATACCTGTAAGACTACAGCTTGACTCTCTTCACTGAGAAATGATCTGTCATCTCTGAGTATGAACCGCTCCATCTTCCCTGGGATCATGTTACCCTTTGACTCTTCCAAACCCAAGGGAGTCTCCCTATAGCCCAACAATTAATCTCCTTAACAAAGCAGCCTTCCCCATCTCACCTTTTTTTTCCTGTCACTCTCTTTAACGTGTTAAAAAGCAAAGATGTCACTTTGAAGACTATGGTGGGCCTATCCAAGCCAGGGTATTTTCAATAGCCTCATATTCATGTGAAAGCTGGACAATGAATAAGGAAGACCAAAGAAGAATTGATTCATTTGAATTGTAGTGTTGGCAAAGGATACTGAAAATCCTGTAACAGCCTGAGTAACAAACAAATCTGTCTTGGAAGAGTTACAGTGGAATGCTCCTTAGAAGCAAGAATGGCCAGACTTTATCTCACTTACTTTGGTCACACTGTCAGAAGAGACCTGTCTATGGAGAAGAATATCATGCTTGGTAAAGTAGAGGGTCAGCACAAAAGAAGACGCTCACCGAGATGGATTGACACAGTGGCTGCAATGATGGGCTTAAGCATAGCAAAGATTGTGAGGATGATGCAGGACCAGGCAGTGGTTCATTCTGTTGTATGTAGGGTCTCTGTGAGTTGGAATCAACTCAACGGGACCTAATAACAATAACATCTGTCTTTTGTTTTGTGTAGACACAAAGGCATGGTTCAGAATGCAGTCCTAATAGACTGTTTATGAAAGACAATATAAGTCAGTTAAGAAGGACATGTCTAGATTTTAAAGGCAATGTGGGAGAAGCAGGAAAGCACACATTTGGAGTTACAAATTTCTGGATTCACATCTTTACTGACTATATGAGCTCAGAGAAGTCAGTTCCCTTCCCCATGTCTTGTTTGTATCATCTCTTAGGTGGACATAATAATAATGCTGCCCACCTCATATTTTTGTTGTGAAAAGTCAGCTACTGTGAATGAACACATTTGTTAATTGTAAAGTGCTTGTGAACACAGCTAAGGGAGGAGAGAAATAAAGATTATTAATGTAACCTTTATCCTTCCAGTTGTTGGCCTTTGTCTTTGGCCCAGACAGTTCAGATAAAGAATTCTGTGAAAATTCCGCTTTGTTAAGCATCTGGGCACATCCCCCACGTTAAGCCAATGATTCATAGACCTCATTCATTTACCTTCCAAGCACTAGAAGCACACAACTATGTTCACGAATTAATCAATAAACCTTAATGCTAATTTCAGGCTGGGATAAGAAGTTGGCAGATAGCTAGCTCATTGTCTCCTACCCTGTCTACTAAGTTCCTGATCTTGTGGGTTTGGTTCCCTCACGTAGGGTGGTTCTTGAGGAAGAAAATTCTCCATGTGGGGTTGTGTTGTCCCTGAAGCCTCCTTCCTGGTTTGGGCATTGAAATGGGTTCTACTCATCCTCTGGGAATCCTCCAGCCTTACAGATTTGTGCAAAGCTTGGTCACAAATGATGACAATGACAACAATGATGATGATGATGGTGATGATGATGATAATGGTAATGATACCATTTAATGAATACTTGCCAAACAAGGTGCTAAGTGCTTTTTGTTCTTTTTCTCATTTGATCCTCCCATGACCCTGTAAGGCTGGTCTTATTGTTCTCATTTTACTGATGAAGAAACAGGTTGGGAAAGACATAGCCAATCAGGGGCAAAGCTGACACTTAAACAACTCAGGCGTCTGACTTCGGAATCTGAACACCTAAGCACAATGCAAAAACCTTATATTTGACATAAAAGCTTCTCTGATTTTGTTAACGGAAGGAATCTTAGATTCATTTCCACTAGTTGTCTCTCCTTTTATAGTTTTTCCTTCCAATCCACACCAGAAGACCTTGTTTTCCCCAACCTCATGCCTTAATGGTCCTCGAAGGGTCTCTCTACCCAAGCAGTCCTCTCACTCATCTACTCTATATGGTACCTTCCTGAACCAAACCAAGTTATACTCATTTACTTCTCTCCCCAAGGAAATGGCTAGCCTTTTGCATAATTAGTTGATATGTTCATATTGCAAATTAAATTGCCTTTGCTTAGCATCTAAGGAAGTAAAAAATGTACAAGGGTGTGACCTAAGGTGATTTAGAACCTGGAAGAAAGCCTACCTAAACTTGTAACAATTTAACTCAGAAGGAAGTTCTATTTTCTATAATCAAAGAATTCTAAAGGTAGAAGGACATGGTTTTATGGAGGAGAAAAATGGGATCCAAACAGTGTGAAGTAAGAAGGAAATGAACATCGATGGATCTCTTTATAGTCACGTAGTCTACTAAGTACCTTCACATATAGTGTCCCATCCTCACCACAAAACTTTGTGTTCAGATTCTATTGTTGTTACCGACCGTGTATCAGAGATGAAGAAGCTGAGATTTTGGGAGGAAATTTAACTTGTCCAAGTTCACCCAAGTAAGTAGACCCAAGTCTGCCTGGCCCATCACACGTCACTTATATTTGAGTTAGAGATGAGCTACTGGTGTAGGACAGGGTGTGACAAAACAAGAACTGAGAGAAAACACAGAAGAGAGAGCATAAATCCCAATGCCACCTCTGTGCACAAAGAAGACAAGCAAACTTAGGCTTCCTGCGTAGTGCTCAAACTGGGCATTTAAAAAGTGACCAATTCCACAAGGTTGTCATGAGGCATGACTCTTGGAAGTAATGGGATGGGCTTTTTTTATAGAGGAAAATGCTTAGCACTCCTGGGCTGACGCTCCTGTTGTTGTTGTTGTTGTTATGTGCCGTGTGTCGGACCCAACTCATAGCGACCCCTCCTTGATTTTCCGAGGCAGTATCACTACCAAAGTGGATTGCCCAACCTTCCCTCTGAGGAGTGCCTGGTGGGTCTGAACGGCCAGCCTTCTGATTAGCAGTCAAGTGCCTTAGGCACTATGCTAGAGATCTTCCTGTAGATGTAGACAAAAGCTTCAGCCTCAAAAAACTTAAGTCAACAATGGCTTTGATCCCAAATATAAGGATGGAGAAAGTGTCTTAGCTGAATCTCATTGCCAATATACATTTGCAGGGAAAACAGAAAGGAACATGATGAGCACAATCATTCAGGAGATAAACCCAGGTAAAAGTCAAGTGTCCAAGGTGGCAGCACACACGAGCATACCAGGACAGCCCAGAAACCTGTAAAACAGGTCACCAAAGAGCAATGGAGATGCCAAGTGTGGTAGTTATGTTTGTGTCAACTTGGCTGGGCCTGGTTGAGTGGCTGGGCAGCTGGTGGTGGTTATTCCCCATGATGAGACTGGCAATCAACTCCATGATGGGATCTACCACAAGCAGCTGAGTAGCTGCCTTTGGGATGTGGTCTGCTTCCTATATATAAGGAGAACCCTTGGGAATGGTCTCTAGTCTATGGCATGCTTGGACCCTGCATGTGTCATTGCTCAGCAGCCTGCCATGCTCTGCCAACCTTGGGACTTACAATGGACTTAAGTTAATGGCCTGCCGTGTGGTTTGGTAACATCAGGACTGTGCCTTTTGACTTGTCAACCTTGGGGCTTCTCAGCCCAGCAGCCAGCAGCTGTCTGAGTGACGAAATGCCTCTAGCTCCAGTGGACCTGGAGCAGGAGGCAGAGCTGGACCCCAAGGTGAGGGGCTTTCACCCAGCCCCTAGAGCCTGGCACTTTGAACTTGGACTTAAAGCCTCCAAACTGTGAGAGAACAAACTCCTGTTTGTTAAAGCCATGCCATTTGTGGTATATTCCTGTCAGAGTGGCACTGGGTAACTAGAACACCAAGTAACCCAGCCAACTGAGAAGGGACCTGTGCTCCCATCATAAGACTGATGTGGGGCCAAAGACTATCAGATAGGACTGAGTAGAGCAGAGAAATCTGGTACAGAGTTTGCGGGGGATTTAGAGAGGAAAGCAATGATGACTTAAAGGACAACAGGGTGATATACATACATAGTCTACTTTTGGGCACAAAACAACCAAGAAAAAGAGAAAGAGAGAGAGAGCACTTTTCTGCCCTTAAGAAGTTTAACTATGAAGTAACTAACTCACTGCCATCGAGTGGATTTGACTCTTAACGACCCCTCCTTGGGTTTCCAAGGTATCTCTGCCGAAGTAGATTGCCCAACCTTCCTTCCGAAGAGCGCAAGCGAGTGCCTGCTTGGGCGTGCCTGGCGCGGAGGTCGCAAGACAGGAAGCTCAGACAGAGCAGGCGCCAACAGGCCCGGCCGACAGCCGCTGCGCACACCCAAGGTTAGCTCACTGTGGCGGCCCCATGGCAGTGAGGCGGACCGCCTGCCTGCCTGGCCGCGGTGGCGAGGATCACTGAGAGGCGGATGGAACCCGAGGTAGACAGCAATAATCAAAATTATTAATCCTAAACCACTCCGCGGAAGGAAGATGGGGCAATCTACTTCTGTAGTGATACTGCCTCGGAAACCCAAGGAGGGGTCACTATGAGTTGGGTCCGAATCCAAGACACATAACAACAACAACAATAAAAATGTTTGGCTTACAAAGTGTTTCTATAAACACAATCTTACGTGATTCTCTTGGCAAGTGTGCAAAGTAGGTAGGACCCAACTGGACAGCAGTGAGTTTGGTTTTGTTTTGAGTGGCATAGTGATTAAGGCTTTCAGCTAAAGTTAGAACCCACCAGCCTCTCCTTGGGAGAAAGAGGAGGCAGTCTGCTTCTGTGAAGATTTACAGCCTTGGAAACAGTTCTACTCTATACATTCATTGATAACAAATTAAAATGTAAGTGAGATTTTTGTTTAAAAAAGAAACAAACTATGGCTGAACTTACAGATGCAAAAACTTGTCTTCAGCCAGAATTTTCCTCATTCCAGTGATTCTGCCTTTGTTATAAGCATGTTGGGGGCTTTCTCTCTTGGCAATGTCTGTGAATTCTTAATATTTGGTTTGTTAGTAGCAAACATTCATCCTTTGAGGATGGGTTTGATTTAGGGTAGCCATTCAAAGAGAAGCTGTGTGATTTAGATGGACCATCAAGTTAGATCACTGAAAATACTGAAACCTCCATAGGATAGTGGCTCATTATGACTCTACAGCCTATTCCAAAGAGGCTTCTGAAAATTAGTTGGAATCTGTGTGTAGGGGATGCCTTTGAAGAATGTTGTTGACCTGGGCGTATGAATTCTCTTCTAATCTTTTAAGTCATCTCCGTAGTTTATAAGGCTGTCTTACATGCAGATAGAATCTGACTCAGATCCCATGATTGCTAATAAACAACTGTTATTTTTTTAGAATTTATCTCAAGCACTTTTCTGAGGTTCAATTTCCTCAACTGTGAAACAGGCTTCATTTGCAGAGTTGTCATGAAGGACAATTAAAATATAGATTCTTTGTAAATATTATTTTTTAAAGAAGATATAGATTCTTTATAATCCATAGTAGATGTGCCATAGAAAAGAGCTGCTATAACAAATGACCACAAATTTAATGGCTTAAAACAACACAATTTTATTATGTATAGGGAGCTCCGGTAGTGTGGTACCTAAGGCATTTGACTGCTGACCAGAAGGCTGGTGGTTCAAACCTACCAGCTACTCCTCGGAAGGAGGGTTGGGCGATCTACTTCCATAGTGATACTGCCTCAGAAACGCAAGGAGGGATCGCTGTGGGTCAGATCCGACTCGATGGCAATGAGTTAGTTTTTTGTTTTTTTTATGGTACTGTAAGTCAGAAGCCCAATAAGGTTAAAATCAAGGTGTTGGCAGGGCTGCATTCCTTTCTGGAGGCCCCAGGGGAGAGTCCATTTCCTTGCCTTTTCCTTCTGGAACCACCTGCATTCCTTGGCTTGTGGCCTTCTTCCTCAGTCTTCAAAGCTAGAACAATGGGTCAGGTCCCTCTCACTCTGACCTTTTTCCTATACTCATATTTCCCTCTAACTCTGCTTCTGTCTCCCTCTTCCACTTTTAAGAACACTTGTGATTACACAGGGACCATTCAAATAATCCAGGAAATCTCCCTATTTTAAGGCCCACTGATTGTTGTTGTCGTTAGGTGCTATTGAGTTGATTTCAACTCATTGTGACCCTATGTGACAGAGTAAAACTTCCCCAGGGTTTTCTTGGCTGTAACCTTTACCAAAGCAGTCACTGATCTTTCTCCCACGGAGGGGCTGGCTGGGTTTGAACTGCCAACCTTTCAGTTAGCAGCTGAGCACTTAACTATTAAACCACCAGAGCTCTTTGGTCAGCTGATGGTTGTTGTTGTTGTTATATGCCGTCGAGTTGGCCCCAACTCATAGCGACCCCTCCTTGGGTTTCCAAGGCAGTATCACTACGGAAGTAGATTGCCCAACCTTCCTTCCGAGGAGTGGCTGCCA